GTACTATGTAGCTCTTAGAAAAGATGAAGTCATGAACTTTACATACAAGTGGTACAATATGGAAAGTATCATGCTAAGCGAAATGAGTCAGAAAGAGAGGGATAGACATAGAAAGATTGCATTCATCTGGGGGATATAAAGTAACAAAGTATGAGATTAATACCCAAGAATAGCTGAGATCAGCACCAGGAGGATTACTCCATAACTTAGAGGCCAGCCAGGTATCCTAGAGGAAAGGGCAGTTCAGATAGAGAAGGGAGCACCAAATAAAGTATGTTTGGAGGATCCTCCCAGGAGGGGAGATGCATGTCAAAAGTAGACTATGGACTGAACATGTTTGCCACTCAATGCCTCTTTTGCAGACCACAACACCCAAAAGGAGAGAGAGAACACAGGGGATTGCCCTGCCACAGAGACAGGGGGGATGGGGGGATGGGGGTGGGAGGGATATTATCCATGGTGGTGGAAAATGGGCACTGGTGGAGGGATGGGTATCTGATCATTGTATAATTGAAACCAAAGCACAAAAAATTGTAAATCTACAACTTAAAAAAAATAAAATAAAATAAAGGGAAAAAAAAATAATTTTCTCTAAAAAAAAAAAAAAAAAAAAAAAGAATGCCAATGGTGTTACCATTCAGTATTGCTTATGTTGAAAATTTAGGGGCTAGAGTGATAGTATAGCAAGTAGGGCACTTGTTTTGCACTCAATCGAGTTGGGTTCAATCCCTGACACCACAAATTGCCCCCTCAGCCCACCAGAAGTGATACCAGAGCACAGAGCCAGGAGTAAGCCCTGAGCACTGCCCAGTGTGGCCCAAAAACAAACAAAAAAATGTATGTTTGTATTTCAGAGGCAGATCACTTGCCCTATAAGTGCCCTTGTCCTACAACTAAGGCTCTGGATTCAGTTCCCAGCACCTCATCGTTCCCTAAACAAGACTTTTTTAGATCATCTAAAAAGACTACTGAGCACCATGTTGGAAGCAGCCCCTGAGCAATGCTGGGTATGGCCCCAAAACAAAAAGTTGTGTCTGGATTGATAATATTTGAAATTTAAGGAGTTATAAAAGCAGTATAAATGATAAATGCACTATAATGAATGTTATAAAAGGCATTACACCTTGGGTTTCCCTGAGTACAGGGATTCATAATTAGGCATGTAATTTTTAAGAAGAAGAAGCACTGTCCTCCCGTTGTTCATTGATTTGCTCGAGCAGGCACCAGTAACATCTCCATTGTGAGACTTTTTGTTACTGTTTTCGGCATATCGAATACACCATGGGGAGTTTGCCAGGCTCTGCTGTGCAGGCGGGATACTCTTGGTAGCTTGCCAGGATCTCCGAGAGGGGTAGAGGAATTGAACCGGGAGGAACTGAACCCAGGTAAGCCGTGTGCAAGGCAAATGCCCTACCTGTTGTGCTATCGCTCCAACTTTTAAGGACCCTAGAAACTATGTCTGTGTGGTACTACAAAAGATAATGAATTTCATCTTCATTTACCCTTTGTTTCCCCAGAAAAATACATAAACTGCTACCATTGAAGAGAAAAAACATGTTCCGTACTGATGACAGGTTGCATTCAAACTACTTAAGTGAATAAGACAAACCTTAGTTGATTAAAAATCTTAGATTCAAAATCTTCACACACTTCCCTCAAGAAAATATTTTTGATCATTTTTAGCGAATTATTTATAATAAGCAATATAAGATAAATTATTCAGGGTCTCCTATAGGCGCAGGCTTGGGGGTGGTTGGAAAAATTGAAAATAATGGTGGTGGAAATGTGCAATTGTGGTGGGATTGGTGTTGGAATATTAGAGGTAACAAATCATCTTAAACAGTTTTATTAAAAAATTAAATTAGCACTGTAGCACTGTCCTCCCATTGTTCATCCATTTGCTTGAGCAGGCACCAGTAACGTCTTCATTGTGAAACTTGTTGTTACTGTTTTTGGCATATCTAATACATCATGGGTAGCTTGCCAGGCTCTGCCCTGCAGGCGGGATACTCTATGTAGCTTGCCGGGCTCTCCGAGAAGGATGGAGGAATCAAACCTGGGTCGGCCATGTGCAAAGCAAATGCCCTACCTGCTGTGCTATCACTGTGGAGCGATATGCCAAAAACAGTAACAACAAGTCTCACAATGGAGACTTTACAAAAAAATAAATTAAAAATAAAATAAACTCAACTATCATAAAAGTAATTCACTAAAACAAAAACAATAACCTGATTTTTTTCCAGGTGCCTTGTATCACTTTGATTTTTTTTAAACTCATTTATTTATTTTTTAATTTTTATTAGTGAGACATCATGAGGTACAGTTGTAGACTTACAAATTTTTGTGCTTGGGTTTCAATTATATAATGATCAAATACCCATTCCTCTACCAGTGCCCATTTCCCAACACCATTGATCCCAGTATCCCTCCCACCCCCCATCCCCCCATCCCACCCTGCCTCTGTGACAGGGCATTCCCTTTTGTTCTCTCTCTCTCTCCTATTGGGTGTTATGGTTTGCAAAAGAGGCAATGGGTGGCAATCATGTTTGGTCTATAGTTTACTTTCGGCATGCTTCTCCCATCCTGGGAGGATCCTCCCAACACCCTTTGTTTGGTGCTCCCTTCTCTATCTGAGCTTCCTTTTCCCCTAGCATATGTGGCTGGCCTCCAAGCCATGGAGTAAAATTCCTGGTACTACTCTTGGCCATTCTTGGCTGAATAACCTGATTTTTAAAAAGCCAAAAGTACTATTTATAATAGGCAAGGCCTGAAAACAACCCAAGTGACCAACGACAAATGAATGAATAAAGAAATTTTAAAAATAATGATATATGTATATATAAATATGTGTGTGTATGTGCGTGTATGTATGTATGTATACACACACACCAGGCTGGAGTGATAGCAGAGCGGGCAGGGCGTCTGCCTTGCATGCAGCCGACCCGGGTTCGATTCCTCTGTCCTTCTCGGAGAGCCTGGCAAGCTACTGAGAGTATATTCGCCCACATGGCAAGTCTGGCAAGCTCCCTGTGGCATATTTGATATGCCAAAAACAGTAACAACAAGTCTCACAATTTGTTGTGAGATGTTTTGGTGCCCGCTCAAGCAAATCGATGAACAACAGAAGGCCAGTGCTACAGTGCTACAGTACACACACATAATGGTATACAATTCGGAGAAAAAAAAAGGTAAAATTTTGCATTTTGCTACAACATGGATAGAACTCAAAGATGTTATGCTAAGTGATCTAAGTCAGAAGGGCATAGACAAATATTAGATGATTTCAAACATATTAAGCAAAGAGAGGAAGCAAGGAAATAAATTAAACCCAGAAGGGGAAAAAAAAACCTCTAGGACTTTCACCACAGAATTGAGGTTCCAAGCAGGTAGAAAGGTGGGCAAGGATGACATGAAGGATCCTATGGATGATACCAACATTTGAGTGGTGGATGTGTAGTTTGATTGTTCTCCCTCAAACATAAACGCTTACATTTCTTTGGTTTTTGTTTTGTTTTTGTTCAGGGGCCACACCCAGCAGTGCTCAGAGATTAATCCTTAATCTTCTTTCAAGAATCACTCCTAGAGGACTTTGGAGGACCATGTGTCATGCCAGGATCAAATCCTGGTCAGATGTATATAGGCAAGTACCTTACCTGTGTACTATCTCTCTGACCTTGTACTTTATTAAAACATTGTTATATCAATAAAAAATAAATTAAAATGTCAAGGGAATGACTGATATTAGGGAAGACTAAAGGACATATTTCATAGATAAATGAGATGACCTCTGGAATGTACCTAAAAAGGGGCAGAAAATAGATGGCTAAATCTCCAGTAATTTACTCAGTCACGGCTATGTAATGAAACTTCCACAAAGCAGCAAAAGTATAAGGTTGTTGAACATGCAGAGATTAGAAAAGAGTGGCATTCTGGGAGACAGCATGAAAGTTCCTCAGTTATATATTTTTCATAATAAATCAATTATAGAAGTAAAATAAATTAAAAATGGGCAAATAACATAAACAAATATGTCCCCTATCATAATAGTATGACATTTCAAATCCATAAATATAGCTACTTGAAAAAACATAAGAAACTTTCTCTCCTGAAGATGATTTCTCTTTGCTCCCTTGCTTGCACTTTCCAGCTCATATTTCCTCTTTAACATGTTTTCCTTTCCTTTTCTCCCCCCTCATCCTTCTTTTAAAAATGAAGATGAGGGGCTGGAGCAATAGTACAATGGGTAGGGCATTTGCCTTGCACATGGCCATCCTGGATTTGATCTCTGGCATCCCATATGATCTTCCAGCCTGCCAGGAATGATCCCTGAGCACAGAGCCAGGAGTAAGCCATGAGCACCACCAGGTGTGGCCTAAAACACAAAACAAAACAAAACAAAAATAAGATGAGGGCAAGATAGGACATGTACTATAGAAAATAAGGCACTAAATTGTATGCAACTGACTCCAGTTTGATCCCTGGTACTACATACAGTCCCTGAGCACTGACAGGGTTATATCTGATCATAGAGCCAGGAGCACACCCTGAGCACCATTAGGTGGTGCCAGAGCACATGCCTAGCCTGTACGAGGTCCTGAATTCAGTTCAATCCCTAGCACCACATACCACTTAGCATTGCCAGGTGTGACCCTCAGGACCACTGACAATTACCGATATAATTTTTTTTTGCATACACATGGTGGTGATAGCTGCACAATAATGTGAATGAACTTGAGCTGTACACTTAAAGGTTACTAAAATGGTAAATTCTGCCACAGGAAGAGGAAGGAGGGGAGAGGGAAGGAGTGAAGAACCATCAATACTACTACCTTAGTTGCAATGTTTTTGTCTTTATATAGCAGCATCAAGTTAAAGAGTACCTGTGCAACAGAAAAAATTAGGTTTTCTATATATTATACTTCTCTGTAGTGAAAAATGGGGGGTGGCGGACCCAGAAAATAGATACTATGATACTACAAATGCCTAATGCTAATACTTACCACTAAAGCAGCTGTTTGAGAGGATGGGGTACTTGTAAGCAGGCCTTTGCTTTTCTTATTAGAAGTACTGGAATTTAGCTTCTATCAGTGTTTGTGAAATAGAAAATAGAATAGTAGAAAAAATAAACCACTGTATACAGTAAAAACACAATTTAAAATTAGTAGCATAATGTGTCATAAAATTCTAATCTAAAAAAATTTAAACTCTAGACAGATTACTGAAGAATTTTCTGGCTTAAACTAGATCAAATAACTTCCCAAAGAATTCTATGTGGCAGAACAACTATATGAGAATGCTTTGGTAGGAATTTAGAAGAAGAAAAAATGCTAAAGTTTTGAATTTGGAAGTGAAGCTTTATCTTTGTTATCTTCTAATAGTATCTCGCCTGCACGGCAGAGCCTGGAAGCTCCCCGTGATGTATTCGATATGCCAGACACAGTAACAACAAAGTCTCCAATGGAGACGTTACTGGGCCCGCTCGAGCAATCTTCTAATACAAGTATTTAGCAATTAGTTACTAATCACTGTCACACTGCCCTCCCATTGTTCATCGATTTGCTCCAGCGGGCCCAGTAACATCTCAATCGTGAGACTTGTTGTTACTGTGTTTGGCACATTGAATACGTCACGGGTAGCTTGCAGGCTTTGCCGTGCGGGTGAGATACTCTTGGTAGCTTGCCGGGCTCTCTGAGAGGGGCGGAGAAATCGAACCTGGCTCAGAGGGGCCGGTTGCGCAAGGCAAACGCCCTACCACTGTGCTATTGCTCCATTGTCACTGTCACTGTCCTCCTGTTGTTCATCGATCTGCTCGAGCAGGCCCAGTAATGTCTCCATTTTGAGACTTGTTGTTACTGTGTTTGGCATATTGAATACATCACAGGTAGCTTGCCAGGCTTTGCCGTGCAGGCGAGATACTCCCGGTAGCTTGCCAGGTTCTCCAAGAGGGGCGGAGGAATCGAACCCGGCTTGGCCAGACTGGCTGCGTGCAAGTCAAACGCCCTACCTCTGTGCTATTGCCCCATATGTTATTTTATTTATTTTATTTAAGTTTTCATTGCACCTTGCAGTCTCAGAGTACTCTGAAGTACAGGGATTGTACCCAAATCTACCACATGCAAAGCATTTGCTCCAACTCTTTAAGCCATCTCCCCGGCCCCATCATTGTACTTTCTAATAAAAAAAATATTTTTAAAGCTGTCAAAAATATATATGTAGCAAAGATAGCTCATTATAAATACATGTTTAGGGGATGGAGTGATAACACAATGGGTAAGGTGTTTGCCTTGCATGCGGCCAACCCGGGTTTGATTCCTAGCATCCCATATGGTCCCCTGAGCACTCCCAGGAGTAATTCCTGAGTTCATGAGCCAGGAGTAACCCCTGTGCATTGCCAGTGTGATCATAAAAGCAAAAAGATGCATGTTTATGTATAAATATTTTTATTTATGGGACATTAAAGCTAAGCAGTCGCGCGACATCTTATTATAACATCTTATTCCTACTTTGGACAAACTGGCAGGCTACCGAATGTAGCCTGCCCACACGCCAGAGTCTGGCAAACTCCCCGTGACGTACCCAATATGCCAAATACCAGTAACAATGATGGGTCTCATTCTCCTAAAGAGCCTTGAATATAATCTCAGAGCTAGGATGAAGGAGACGTTACTGGGGCCTGCTCGAGGCAATCGACGGATAACAGGATGATTTGTGATTTGTGAAAGCTAAATAAATTATGAAGTAGGGCAGATGTTTTCTTGAAGATACAAAGAGTGACAGATGGTAAAATCAAGAAAGATGAGACAGAAGAGAGAAAGTGAATACTGAACTAAAATGTTTGCAAGGAAGATGAAAGAGAAAAGAGGAATGGAGTAGAGAGAATAAGTGGGAGACGAGATGGGGAAAGAAGGATAGGAATACAGAAGACAGAAAAAGAGAAAAGGAGAGAAAGACTGACTCTCTGTGAATAGGTATCTATTATGTGATTCCAAGTCTGAAACCCCAAAAAAAGAGTTCAAACTTAGTTTTTTAGTTTAAAACTTAGTTTTTTTTTTAAATCAAGACATCATCTTAAGTAGTTTATGGAGATAAAAAAAATCTTAATCAAAAACATTTTAACTAGTGGTGGGATTGGTATTGAAACATCATATGCCTGAAACTCTAATCTTAATAACTTTGTAAAACATAATGCCTTAAACATTTTTGTAACATTTTATAGCTGTATTTGCTTGGTACACTGAATATGGCAGCTCTCTAATTTGCTATCCATATAACTTATTTGAACATGTGATTATTCTACCACTATGAGTTGTTTATAATTTATAAAATAATACATCTAAAGAGAACCTATAGGATCTGAAGAGTAGAAAAAAAAGTGAAGCTATTTTTATTATTGTGACAGCCAAAGAGGTGCACTGCTCAGATCTCCTTAAACAAAACAGCTACTCTTCTGCTAAAAATTTAAAAAAGCAGGTAGCTGACACCCCCACTACAAGATGTTTAGAATCTGCTCTGATTATCATGTGATGCCATCACCTTCTTTCAACTCTCAGCCAGCACCTGTACTCAGCAGCCCAACCTAAGAATGCTCTAATGCAGTCTTTGCTTTGGAACACCCTAACTGAAAGCATTTTTGTCAGATCATCTTTGAAGACTGACGTTATTCCTGCCAAATCCTGCTTGGCAAAAAATAAAAATCACACAGACACAAAAAAACAAACAAAAAACCCCATTGTTTCCTTTCTCAAGTATGACGTGTTCCAATATGCCCCTTCATCTCTTGATTCTGTCTCAAAATCTGCCTCCCAACAGTTCCAACTGAAATGATTCTCAACTATCAGGCATTTCAAAAACATCTCCCTATGTATAGATGCAAATATATAAAACTTCTCTGCATTTTTCCTAGATATATTAAGAAATTATATATATGTAAAATTCCAATTAAAGTTTTTTTGGGGGGTTGGAGTGATAGTACAGTCAGTAGGGCATTTGCCTTGCATGCAGCTGACCCGGGTTCGATTCCCAGCATCCCATATGGTTCCCCAAGCCCACTAGGAGTAATTTCTGAGTGCAGAGCTTGGAGTAACCCCTGAACATTCCAACTGTGTCCCAAAATGAAAAAATATATATATTTTCTTCTCCTAGTCTTTATTTTTTTTCTTTTGGCTTTTTGGGTCACACCCAGCGATGCACAGGGATTACTCCTGGCTCTACACTCAGGAGTTACTCCTGGCAGTGCTCACAGATGCTGAGAATCGAACCTGGGTTGGCCGTGTGCAAGGCAAATGCCCTACCCACTGTGTTATCTCTCCAGCTCCTCTTCTTCTAGTCTTTAAAAGAATTAGTTAATAAAAAGGACAGTACTCACCAATGCAGGTTTCAGGGACTGTGGCAGAAAAATTTCGGTAACTGATCCATCAGCATTTTTTTCAGGAACAGACCTCTGGTGAGATGGTCGAACCTTCATTTTCAGGTGATGAGAACTTAACTTTGTTTGACTATTTGAACTTCTCTCTCCTGGACATTTTTCAGGCTGAAACAAATTCATAATGATATGATTCATTTCACAATGCTTTAAAAAACATTTCTACTACTTCTAGAAGAAGCTCTAGTTTTGTTATAAATATATTATAATTATTACAAGAAGAAGAAATTTTGATGCATTGCACCACCGATAGCACAATGCTAGAGTCAGGAAGAGACCTTTAATAAAAGCAGTTTTTGAGAAGGAACAGAGCGTATGCAAGTATTTTTTAGATGACATTTAATGTAAGCTGTGGCATACCTAAATAGTGAAATACTTGATTTGTGTAAATATGTGTTTTTATATTTGTTCACGTGTGTGAACTGGTGGAGGGTAAAACTGAGACAGTGCATAAAGTAGGGAAGGAAGTGAAGACAGTACATAAAGTAGTAAGGACGTGAAGAAGCAAGGGGGCAAATGTAAAGTGTGGGGGTATTTTATATTGCTTTAGCTAAATAACTGAAATTCAGATCAACTTCAATAAGATTACTAGCTTGTAGAGCCTAGAGGGTTAGATTTGGCTGTCTGCTTTTCTCCCATGTTTTATGCTTTGACAAAATTTCAGCATTAATTTAATTTTAGACTACTGATTTTTCTTATTCGGGGCTGGAGCAATAGCACAGCGGTAGGGCGTTTGCCTTGCACGCAGCCAAGATGGCCGACCCGAGTTCAATTCCTCCGCCCCTCTCGGAGAGCCCGGCAAGCTACCGAGAGTATCTCACCCTCATGGCAGAGCCTGGCAAGCTCCCCGTGACATATTCGATATGCCAAACACTGTAACAACAAAGTCTCCAATGGAGACGTTACTGGGCCCACTTGAGGAAATCGATGAACAATGGGAGGACAGTGATTATCAGTGATTTTTCTTATTCAGTTGCTCAGGCCCTGGCACCACATGGTCCCCAAGCACTGCTGAGAATGACCTCCAAGCACAAAGCTATAAGAAGCTCCTGAGCACTTCCAGGTTTGTCCCAAAACAAAACAAAATAAAAACCAACACCTTAATCATGTATACTGTAGCACTGTAGCACTGTCTTCCCATTGTTCATTGATTTGCTCAAGCGGGCCCAGTAACGTCTCCATTATGAGACTTGTTGTTACTGTTTTTGGCATATCAAATATGCGTCACAAGTAGCTTGCCAGGTTTTGCCGGGCAGGCGAGATACTCTTGGTAGCTTGCCGGGCTCTCCGAGAGGGGTGGAGGAATCGAACCCGGGTTGGCCAAGTTGGCTGCGTGCAAGGCAAATGCCCTACCCCTGTGCTATTGCTCCAGACTAGCTCAGCTGATAGAGTGTAGGACTGTAGTGGACACTGACACAAAGCAATCATGTATACTAATAGGGGTTTATTTCTGGACTCACAGTTCTGTTCCATTCAGTCTATTTTTTTACCAATACTACATAGTCTTTTTTTGTGGTTGCTGTTTTGGGGACACACCTGGTGGTGCTCATGAGACCACATGTAGTATGATCAAACCCAGGCCACCTGTGTGCAAGGCAAGAACCCTACCTTCTGTACTATTTTTCTGGCTCCTGCACAAAAAAATTTTTTTTAAAGAAA